TCAAATTTTATAAACATTCCTCTAATACATATAAAAATAAAGGGTGTATCAACCCAGAAACGGTAGACTTTTCTGTATTTCTATTCTCGGTAAATATGTAATAATTTAACATTAAATTTACGAATTATTTCCACCGCCCCCGATGGAACTCTGAGAAAACAGAGAATGGTATTAAGTTTTGTAAACATTCCTTTACTACCTTTAAAAAATACAGGGTGGATCAACTCAGAAACGGTGGACTTCTCTGTATTTCTATTCTTGGTAAATATGTAATAATTTAACATTAAATTTACGAATTATTTCCACCGCCCCCGATTGAATTCTGAGAAAATTGATAGTGACCTCAAATTTTATAAACATTCCTCTAATACATATAAAAAATACAGGGTGTATCAACTCAGAAATGGTAGACTTTTCTGTATTTCTATTCTCGGTAAATATGTAATAATTTAACATTAAATTTACGAATTATTTCCACCGCCCCCGATGGAGCTCTGAGAAAACAGAGAATGGTGTTAAGTTTTGTAAACATTCCTTTACTACCTATAAAAAATACAGGGTGTACCAACTCAGAAACGGTAGACTTTTCTGTATTTCTATTCTTGGTAAATGTGTAATAATTTAATGTTAAATTGAGGAATTATTTCCACCGCCCCTGATGGAGCTCTGAGAAAACAGAGAATGGAATCATGTTTTATAAGCATTCCTCTACTACATATAAAAAATACAGGATGTATCAACTCAAAAACGGTGGACTTTTCTGTATTTCTATTTTTGGTAAATATGTAATAATTTTACGTTAAATTTACGAATTATTTTCACCGTCCCCTATGGAATTCTGAGAAAATTAATAGTGACTTCAAATTTTATAAACATTCCTCTAATACATATAAAAAATACAAGGTGTATCAACTCAGAAACGGTAGAGTTTTCTGTATTTCTATTCTCGGTAAATATGTAATAATTTAACATTAAATTTACGAATTATTTCCACCGCCCCCGATGGAGCTCTGAGAAAACAGAGAATAGTATTAAGTTTTGTAAACATTCCTTTACTACCTATAAAAAATACAGGGTGTATCAACTCAGAAACGGTGGACTTTTCTGTATTTCTATTCTTGGTAAATATGTAATAATTTTATGTTAAATTGAGGAATTATTTCCACCGCCCCTGATGGAGCTCTGAGAAAACAGAGAATGGAATCATATTTTATAAGCATTCCTCTACTACATATAAAAAATACAGGTTGTATCAACTCAGAAACGGTGGACTTTTCTGTATTTCTATTCTTGGTAAATATGTAATAATTTAACATTAAATTTACGAATTATTTCCACCGCCCCCGATGGAGTTCTGAGAAAATTGATAGTGACTTCAAGTTTTATAAACATTTTTTTACTACCTATAAAAAATACAGGGTGTATCAACTCAGAAACGGTAGACTTTTCTGTATTTCTATTCTCGGTAAATATGTAATAATTTAATATTAAAATAACGAATTATTTCCACCACCCCCGATGGAGTTCTGAGAAAATTGATAGTAACTTCAAGTTTTATAAACATTCCTCTAATACATATAAAAAATACAGGGTGTATCAACTCAGAAACGGTAGGCTTTTCTGTATTTCTATTTTTGGTAAGTATGTCATAGTTTTACGTTAAATTTACGAATTATTACCACCGCCCCCGATGGAGCTCTGAGAAAACAGAAAATGACATTAAATTTTATAAACATTTCTTTACTACCTATAAAAAATACAGGGTGTATCAACTCAGAAACGGTTGACTTTTCTGTATTTCTATTCTTGGTAAATATGTAATAATTTTATGTTAAATTGAGGAATTATTTCCACCGCCCCTGATGGAGCTCTGAGAAAACAGAGAATGGAGTCATGTTTTGTAAGCATTCCTCTACTACATATAAAAAATACAGGGTGTATCAACTCAGAAACGGTGGACTTTTCTGTATTTCTATTCTTGGTAAATATGTAATAATTTAACATTAAATTTACGAATTATTTCCACCGCCCCCGATGGAGTTCTGAGAAAATTGATAGTGACTTCAAGTTTTATAAACATTTCTTTACTACCTATAAAAAATACAGGGTGTATCAACTCAGAAACGGTAGACTTTTCTGTATTTCTATTCTCGGTAAATATGTAATAATTTAATATTAAAATAACGAATTATTTCCACCACCCCCGATGGAGTTCTGAGAAAATTGATAGTAACTTCAAGTTTTATAAACATTCCTCTAATACATATAAAAAATACAGGGTGTATCAACTCAGAAACGGTAGGCTTTTCTGTATTTCTATTTTTGGTAAGTATGTCATAGTTTTACGTTAAATTTACGAATTATTACCACCGCCCCCGATGGAGCTCTGAGAAAACAGAAAATGACATTAAATTTTATAAACATTTCTTTACTACCTATAAAAAATACAGGGTGTATCAACTCAGAAACGGTTGACTTTTCTGTATTTCTATTTTTGGTAAATATGTAATAATTTTACGTTAAATTTACGAATTATTACCACCGCCCCCGATGGAGCTCTGAGAAAACAGAAAATGACATTAAATTTTATAAACATTTCTTTACTACCTATAAAAAATACAGTGTGTATCAACTCAGAAACGGTGGACTTTTCTGTATTTCTATTTTTGGTAAATATGTAATAATTTTACGTTAAATTTACGAATTATTTCCACCGCCCCCGATGGAGTTCTGAGAAAATTGATAGTGACTTCAAGTTTTATAAACATTCCTCTAATACATATAAAAAATACAGGGTGTATCAACTCAGAAACGGTGGACTTTTCTGTATTTCTATTCTTGGTAAATATGTAATAATTTAACAATAAATTTACGAATTATTTCCACCGCCCCCGATGGAGTTCTGAGAAAATTGATAGTGACTTCAAGTTTTATAAACATTTCTTTACTACCTATAAAAAATACAGGGTGTATCAACTCAGAAACGGTAGATTTTTCTGTATTTCTATTGTCGGTAAATACGAGTATGCAATAATTTTACGTTAAATTTACGAATTATTTCCACCACCCCCGTTGGAGCTCTGAGAAAACAGAGAATAACATTAAGTTTTATGAACATTCCTCTAATACATATAAAAAATACAGGGTGTATCAACTCAGAAACGGTGGACTTTTCTGTATTTCTATTTTTGGTAAATATGTAATAATTTTACGTTAAATTTACGAATTATTTCCACCGCCCCCGATGGAGCTCTGAGAAAACAGAAAATGGCATTAAATTTCGTAAACATTACTTTACTACCTATAAAAAATACAGGGTGTATCAACTCAGAAACGGTAGACTTTTCTGTATTTCTATTCTCGGTAAATATGTAATAATTTAATATTAAAATTACGAATTATTTTAACCGCTCCCGATGGAGTTCTACGAAAATTGATAGTGACTTCAAGTTTTATAAACATTCCTCTAATACATATAAAAAATACAGGGTGTATCAACTCAGAAACGGTAGGCTTTTCTGTAATTTCAATCTCGGTAAATATGTAATAATTTAATATTAAATTAACGAATTATTTCCAACGCCCCCGATGGAGTTCTGAAAAAATTGATAGTGACTTCAAGTTTTATATGCATTTCTCTACTACATATAAAAAATACAGGGTGTATCAATTCAGAAACGATAGGCTTTTCTGTATTTTCAATCTCGGTAAATATGTAATAATTTAATATTAAAATTACGAATTATTTTTACCGCCCCCGATGGAGTTCTAAGAAAATTGATAGTGAGTTCAAGTTTTATAAACATTCCTCTAATACATATAAAAATACAGGGTGTATCAACTCAGAAACGGTAGGCTTTTCTGTATTTCTATTCTTGATAAATGTGTAATAATTTTATGTTAAATTTAGGAATTATTTCCACCGCCCCGGATGGAGCTGTGAGAAAACAGAGAATGGCGTCATGTTTTATAAGCATTTCTCTACTACATATAAAAAATACAGAGTGTATCAACTTAGAAACGGTGGACTTTTCCATATTTTTAATCTTGGTAAATGAATAATACGTTAAATATATAAATTATTTCCACCGCCCCCGATGGAGTTCTAAAAAAAGTGAGAACATCATCAAGTCTTATATACATTGCTCTACTATAAACAAAAATACAGTGTGTATCATTTTAGAAACGGTACACTTTTCTATATTTTTAATTCTTGATATATTTGTAATAACATACGTCAATTTTAAAAATGTATTTTGCCACCCCCGACAAAGATCTGGGAAAAGTGTACTCATTGTCAAGTTTTGTGATCCCTACTCTATCACCATGAGCATATTGTTTTAGGCCTTTATTATTATATATAAAAAAATTAAGGTGTATCAGTGTAGATATTACCATTTTTGAATTTTTAAAATCTCGGGAATATTTAAGTTATCATATAAATTATTTGCACCGCTTTTGAGTCACGTCTCTAAAAAATTGATTAGTAGGTTCATAATATTTATACAAAAAATTCCTAGTTTTATATATTTCATTTTTTTACCGTTGCTAAATATCGTTTCTATCTTCACCACTTTTTTCCGTTGCTAACTGCCGTTTCTATCTTCACACAGGTTTATTAGGTAACGTTTTAAGTTTCAATAAATAAGGAACAAAAATACTCTTTTACACTATAATTTTTCTTAAGCTTACTGAGGATCAAGGTGAGCTGAATACATTCAATAATATTATGCAATTTGTTTATACCTTATTTTTTGCATGTTAAATGTATATATTTATAAAAAATAATGTCCACACCTCATTAAAAAAATGAGATATTCAAAAAACTAATTTTGAAAATATTACGAAAATTTTAACTGTGCTTAAGTTATTCATTTCAATCAAAAAATTAAATATTGACAATTAATAAGATATTTATTTAATATGTTTATATACTACATGTAAAGTTTATTTTCATTCGTATCACTAAATAAACCAGTTTTATTTCTCTTTTTTTTTAGATAACACCAAAAAAGATTTGATAGACAGAACCAAAGTTAATAACAGCAATGTATTAGATAATAATAATTTCTATACCTCAACCCCTTTGAGAACAACTAATGGGAACCTATCAGAGATATCCCTCTCCACTTGCAGTGGTAAGTAGAAATGTAAAAGTTCAAAATGTATTATGAGGAAAAACTTGTTTTTATAGATAACTATTATAGTACTATAAACACTTTAAATAGTGAGGATAGTCCATCTAAAGTATTAGCTAAAGAGCAGCTAATGAATAGTATTAATGCTAATACTATACTAAATGGAAATACAACTAATACTACAACAATTATTGCCGACATAGAAGGCGAGACCAAGAAAAAGCCCAGATACATTTTGGATAAGACTTACTATATTGCCAAGGAAATATTGATGACCGAATTGACATATAAGAAAGATTTAGATATCATCAATGTGGTAAGTAAAAATACTAAACAATAGATATTTACGAAAACAACCTTAGGTTATCAGCTGATTGATATCAGATTAACTCGAAGATAAAAAAAGGTAAAGGATGTATCATTCCCCGTTAGAAGCGGACCGCTGTAAGATTTATGCACTAGAGGATGTTACTGATGTGTATGGACACCATAGGGTGATTCATTTCCGAAAAATTTTTTTTTGGTGCTCAAACAAAATATTAATCTACATATAGAAAAAGAAATTCTCACCAAGTTTGAGCTCGTAATATCAATTTTAAGAGCGATATCCATGGTTAGAAACTGGCTTAAAATGACTTCAAGATTTTCTTTCTCAGTTTTAAAATTTTTTTTTTTAAATTTGATATACCTACTAAGCAAATGATAGAGAGAACCCCGCTGTAGAGCCCGAATTCAGAAAAACTTATTTTTTAATTATTTCTTTACAAATTATGAAAATTATTGCAAAAAGGAGTCTTTACCGGGAATTGTTATATAAAAATCAGCTAATTTTTTCCAATACACTTTTTTGTCCAAAGCGTATATTTTTTGAAAACATTGAATTACGAAATTTGAGAAAATCTGTCAAGATTCAAATCCATATTAATTGATTTGGCAACAAGGCGGCGGACGTTGGTGGTGCATGCAGTACCGGAAAATTAGGATAAAAGTCATTTAAGTCGCTTAGGATGAAATTATTAAAAAACTTTTTTCTTTTTAGTTCAAGTGTAGGTGTTTTCATTTTGTATTTAGTTATTGTGTTTATATGAACGTTTGGTGTAAGCTGAGTTATAATAGTTTGTCGTAAAAATGGGAAAACTTTCGGAAATGCCGAAAATTATATTTCCATTTCGACGGAAATCCATAAAATATCGTGCAAGATTACTTAGACCGTCCGGTTCAGCTCCTGCCCTTCTAAGCATAAAAGTCAAAATATATGGGAAATTAATATACTAAGTATGGAATAGAAAAAGAACCTTTAGCTTTAAGCAATATTCACAAATTTAAGGCGCCTGTCCAATAAATGTGGTTTATTTGTGGATTCCGAATATGGTTTTTTAGGTCCCGGCGGTTTATTAGGAACCGTCAGTATTATCGAAATTAAATATCCTGCTTCAAAACTGACTACGGAAAAAGCAATGGTTTGCAACGATATAGGCTCATCTCCGCCCGGCTCATTTCCGCCCGCAACCTTTTTCGGCTCATCTCCGCCCACGGTCAAAATACCCGGCTCATTTCCGCCCAGATTTGCAGTCCCTTACTAATTACGGCATTACATACATACACATTCGAATAGTATTGCAAGTTTTTGTGTATAGGATAAATGATAATATGAAATATAATAAAACAATACATTAATATAAATTTTGTACGTGTTATTTTAATTTTAATAAATAAAAATAAATAAAAATAAATAAAAATAAATAAAATAAATAAAAATAAATAAAAATAAATAAAAATAAATAAAAATAAATAAAAATAAATAAAAATAAATAAAAATAAATAAAAATAAAAAAAAAAAAAAAATAAATAAAAATAAAAAAAAATAAACTCTCACACATTTTCCAGGCTTAGGACTGCAGATAACAAAGTATTTTCTGTTATACTGGCGTATTTAAAAGTTGAGAAAGAGAGAAGCTGATTCTTGTAATTTTTTTGTGTTTTTTTTTGTTTTTGTGGAAAAATATTTAGATAAGAAATTGTTAATGATGGTATTGGATAATCATGGTATTAATGTCTTAATACTAATTGTAATCCAAATACTAGTCTTAATACTAATAATTAGCGAGTTCTGAAAACTATTTGTAAAAATTAGGAATTCTGTATACTTTTCAACTATGCATCTATATGTAAATATTATAAAGACTAATCTGAATGACAAAAACAAAAAATAAACAAAAAATAAAAAAATAAACAAAAACAAAAAAATATACTTTTTCGTAACTTTTAAACATGCCAGTACATCAGAAAATCCTTTAGGAGAGCTCCCTTTAATTTTTAATTTATTTTTAATATTTATTATAGCAGCAACAGAAATATACATGAAAATTTCTGAATTGTAATCTAGTAAGTTATAAGTTTATTTATGTTTAATATTTTTTCGATACAAACACTAAAAAAAATTATTAGCACAAACGAAATATTTTCTTTACTAAATAAGAAAAAACTTATTTTTTTAAATATAAGATTAAAATAAATAATATGATCTTGTTATTTTATCTATTTTTAGAGTGTTTTAGCTCTTATTATTTGGGGAGTGGGTCAGGTTATTAAACAACTCGTATCACTTTGAAAAAGAATGTTGAACGCCACTATATTTAAACTTTCTAAACTTGACAAGCGATTAATGATGAAAATATAGAAAATCACTAACCTTTATGATATTATAATTAAATAAGGTAGCGACAAATTCTAATTCACAGAGACTTAATTATTCAAATTTAAATGATTTATTATAACTTATCTGTGGTATAACAGGTAGCAGGTACAGGGGATTCGTATGATAGGCTTGGATATCACCAACTGATAATTCTTCATAGGTAAAGTTAAATCTCGTACACTTCTTTGGATGGCTGGAACTAAACCTCTTGAAATACTTGAAACAACCTCTGTAGCTGGAACCAAACTTCTAAGTTTCAATATTTCTACACATGCAGCTGGAACGTTCTTCCTAACAATCTTTTTCGATAAAATTCTATAAAACCATCGATATAACTTCTACTGAACTTCTACTGAACTTCTACTGAAATGATCTATATACAGCCAAGCTACAAGGAAAAAGGTAAAAATATCAAGAAGGGATTAGGAAGAGTATATAGGAAACAGATAATGCTTTTAACTATTAAATGAACATTTAAACTATTATTTGAATATTTTCACAGATGCTAAAATTAATATGAAAAGAAAAAATCCCATTTAACATATTTAAATATAGTAAAGCATAGTATCTCTTTCCTAACAAAATAATAGATAAAATTATATAAAACATGTGAGTCTTGTGTGATTCAATGTGTTGAGGTTATGTTTCAAATTTGACATTTTAATAAAGAAATTCTTGTACAAAATATATATTTTCAACAAAATGTCGGTAGGAAACTTACCTTTATAAAATCAGACGGTCATTAAAAATATTAAAGACAATTAGTACATCGGATGTACTAGATAAAAGATAATTAAAATTCAATAATTCAACTTGTTCGAAGACAGAGGTAAATCGAAATGACAACCTGAGTTTTGACACAAGGCATAAAACGACAAATGACGTTTGTGTACAGATGGTGGTTTCAAAATAACGAAAACGGTTCCGACCGTTATAATGTCCAATAGAAATAGGCGCTTCACTATGACGCGGTTAATGGCGCAAAAATGGAGCGTTTTAAATAATTGATTTAAAAGTAAACTTTTTAAAGTACTATAACTTTATTATTTATTATCTATTTAAAAAATTTATTGCATGAAAAAAAAAGTTTTTTTGTGCTTAAACACGTAATAGTACTAGATTCGTTAAATTCGTTTAACGGCCATTTATATTAATATATTGATTTATAATTTTTCATATTATCATTTATCCTATATACAAAAACTCGATTACCTATATAGTACTCGAATGTGTATGTATGTAATTATGGGTGTCGGCTCATCTCCGCCCGCAACCTTTTTCGGCTCATCTCCGCCCATGGTATGGTCAACCAAAATACCCGGCTCATTTTCGCCCAGATTTGCAGCCCCTTACTAATTACGGCATTTTAGATTAGTAGGTACATAATTACATACATACACATTCGAGTACTATATAGGTAATCGAGTTTTTGTATATAGGATAAATGATAATATGAAAAATTATAAATCAATATATTAATATAAATGGGCGTGTTTAGTGTAAACGAATTTAACGAATCTAATACTATTACGTGTTTAAGCACAAAAAAACTTTTTTTTCATGCAATAAATTTTTTAAATAGATAATAAATAATAAAGTTATAGTACTTTAAAAAGTTCACTTTTAAATCAATTATTTAAAACGCTCCATTTTTACGCCATTAACCGCGTCATAATGAAGCGCCTATTTCTATTGGTCACTAAAGAATCTGTGATACCGTAACACTAGACAGTTGATCGTTATCTTTTTCTAATAGTGACATTTATGACAATTATCTCTTTCGAAAATCAGATTAAAATTATATTTTCATTTCTCATGATACAAAAATGTCAAAATTTCTAACCTCAAATCGATTGTTGGAAACAAAACATTGAAATTGCTTTTAAAAAGTGTGATAAAATTAACATTTGTTTAATTTTGTGTAACAATAAAAATATCTGGTTAAGTACTTGGTCCCTATGAGAAGTAAAAAAAAAAAACAGTCAATCTGATAAAATGTTTATAAAAGTTCCTCAAAATCTAGACCTAGATATTCAAAAACGATAGTGGGATAAGGGCTGTTGCAAAATACAAACCACCATCGTGCTTTTGTACTTTAATCTTATATTTAAAAAAATTAGTTTTTTCTTATTTAGTAAAGAAAAATATTTCGTTTGTGCTAATACATTTTTTTTCAGTGTTTGTATCGAAAAAATATTGAACATAAATAAACTTATAACCTACTAGAATACAATTCAGAAATTTTCATGTGTACTTCTGTTGCTGCTACAATAAATATTAAAAATAAATTAAAAATTAAAGGGAGCTCTCCTAAAGGATTTTCTGATATTTAAAAGTTACGAAAAAGTATATTTTTTTGTTTCTGTTTATTTTTGTTTATTTTTTGTTTTTGTCATTTAGATTAGTATTTACAATATTTACATATAGATGCATAGTTGAGTAGTATACAGAATTCTTAATTTTTGCAAATAGTTTTCAGAACTCGCTAATTATTAGTATTAAGACTAGTAGTTGGATTACAATTAGTAATAAGACATTAATACCGTGATTATCCAATACCATCATTAACAATTCCTTATCTAAATATTTTTCCACAAAAACAAAAAAAAAACACAAAA